CAAAAAAAAAAAAAAAAAAAGGAAAGAAAATATGAATTACCAAATTGACCAAGAAGTAGTAAACTATATCATCAACTAGTATAAACTAGAAATCATAAACCAGTACATCATAAACTAGAAAAATTAAAAAGATAGTCAAATTGCAACCTCCCCACCTCCCAAGATATTTGGACCAAATGGATCCACAGTTAAGTTCTGTCTAGGAGTTTCTGGGTTGGTGAACACATGGAGATACTAGGAGGGAGCACATGCAGAGAGGGCATGGCAGCTCCTCGCAACCCCTTTCTACCCCATACCTTGTCCTATACATCTCTTCCATTTGGCTGTCCTTGAATTATTCAGTGTCCCAGCAGGAAAGCCTGGATGGCTAATCTTAGGTCAGGTGACTATACTCATACCTGGATGTCAGAATGTAAATAGAGCTTGCAAAATCTTAACAATAACAAAGAAATAAAGAATACATATAAGCCATGCATGAGTTTGTAATAGATTTTGAATTTGCCAGGGTGAAAATTTTCATCATCCCCATTTTCATCAAGATCTTGAGAACTCAAGAATGGGCAGACCCCATGGAATAATTCTGTGTACACTGAATTTAGCAGCTATGCTAGGAAAATATGGAACAGAGGAAAGAAGATACAAAACCATCATGGTGCAAGATTGCAGAGCAGAAACTCAGGATTACTCAAGACCTCCAAAGAAATGTAACCTGGACCTGTTATTCTCTCCTCACTTGTTTTCCATTGTTTCTGGAGAAATCGCAATCAGCCCAAGAGATCAGTGTATGCCTTTCAAATTAAGTGGGCAAGCCCACTTAATGTAATGTCAAAGGCTTCCTACTGCTATGAGGTTAATACAACTTTGACACCAAATTTGAAAACTACAGACCTGTTTCACTTTTGAATGTAGATATCTTAAATACCATTCAAGGGAAACAGATCTGGAAGTATATTAAATAAGATTTATCTTAAGTATACAAGGGGCTGGGCACAGTGGCTTACGCCTGTAATCCTAGCACTTTGGGAGGCCAAGGCAGGTGGATCACCTGGGATCAGGAGTTCGAGACCAGACTGGCTAACATGGTGAAACCCGTTTCTACTAAAACTACAAAAAATTAGCCAAGCGTGGTGGCCCAAGCCTGTTATCCCAGCTACTGGGGAGGCTAACGCAGGAGAATTGCTTGAACCTGGGAAGTGGAGGTTGCAATGAGCCACGATCATGCCATTGCACTCCAGCTTGGGCAACAAGAGTAAAACTCCATCTCAAAAAAAAAAAAAAAAAGGAATACAAGCAAAATTTGACAGGAAAACCTATGTAGTTTACAACGTTCATTAAATATTACAATCTTAAAGGAGAGGAGAAACAAAAATCTTATTAAATGCTTAAGATGAAAACTCATAAAATTTGAAATAGATTTTCTTAAAACTTGATAACAGCAAAATTAGGATGAGTAAATTAGGGCTAACAAACTAATAGAAGGAAACTTTTTGTTTTTATTATGGAAATTTTAAAACAATCAAAAATACAATGAAACATAGAATAGTAATAAAGAATATAACGAAAAATAGAATAATATAATGGAACTCCATGTGCCTATCACCCAGATTTAATAATTATTGATTTATAGCTAATCTTGTCTCATCCAAAACCCCACCCCTACTCCTTTACCTCCATCTATTAGATTATTTTTGAAGGCAATCCCAGACACTGTATCACTTGATACATTTACCACTAAAAATACAAAAATATCACTTGATAGATTTACCACTAAAAATACAAAAATTAGCTGTGTGTGGTGGCGTGTGCCTGTAGTCTCGGCTACTTGGGAGGCAGAGGTGGGAGGATAACTTGAGCCCAGGAGGTAGAGTTGCAGTGAGCCAAGATTACACCACTGCAGTCCAGCCTGGGCAACAGAGTAAGACCATGTCTCAAAAAAATAAAAATAAAAACAAAAAAGCTAATGGGAAAAAAAGGCTCACCAAGTGCTCAACATTGAATTAAAATAGACCTACATTATGGCACATCATAAAATCTCAAGATTACTGAGGTCAAAAGATCCCATAAGCTTCCAGAAAGGAATGAAACAGGTTTCAGATAAAGGATTAAGAACTAGAAAAGCACCGTAACTCTCAGTAGCAACTCTAGAAGCTGAAAGATAATGAAGCAATGCCTCAAAATTCCCCCATCCAAGTAGTAACCAGGCCTGACCCTGCTTAGCTTCCAAGATCAGACGAGATCAGGCACATTCAGGGTGATGTGGTTGTAGATGCAATGCCTCAAAATTCTAATGGAAAATTATTTCCAACCTACAATTGTATACCTGGCTATGTTCTCAATAAAATGGTAGGTTAGAATAAAAGCATCTCAGACAAAGAGTCTCTGAAAATTATTTCAATGTACCCTTTTCTCAGAAAGGTACTGCAGGACTTGTTTCCCCAAAATTAAGAAGTAATTCATGGCAGAGGAAGAGGGATCCAGGAAATGAGATCTAATACAACAGAAAAGTGAGGGTAATCCCCAGGATAATTAAGAAGAAAAATCTCCACACCGAAAGTGTATCGCAGGCACAGAGAATAAACTGTCCATTGATGACTGATTAGAATCAAAAGGTGAGAGAGGAAGAAGAATCTAGGATTACTTCCAGGGTTCTGACATGAACAACTTGGTGAAGGAGCATGTAATTAGGTAAGAAACATCAGAAGAGCAGGGAAAAGAGCAGGTATGCTTGTGGACATTGTAAGTTTGAATGAAGATAATGAGTACACACCTAGGCACAGCATTGACATTTAGGCTAAAAAAAAATAAAAAATAAAAAAGACATTTAGGCTAGAAATATCGAGTTACATGCTGTGAGTGTAAATATGGCAACCTAAGTCCCCAAAGTGGAAAAGATCACCAGGAACAAAGTATAGGATGAAAAGAAGTATAGGATGAAAAGAAAAGGGTCTAGGATAGATCCCTGAAAACTTAAGGGCGAGGCAGAGGAGGAGCTAGCAAAAGAGGGGCCAGGGAGTCAGGAAGAAAACGAGGAGAACAGAAGGGATCATGACAGCCTAGAAGAAGAGACTGCTTCATAAAAGACAGCGTGTTCAATAATTAAGGAAGAAAAAGAGTTTAAAGCATCCAGTGGATCCAGTGACATGGAAGTAACTAGTAACAAGAGCAATAATCTTTGCATATTAGATTATCAAAGATCAAAAATACTTATTTGATAGTTATCAGATAATAGAGAAGTGGCGGCCGGGCGCGGTGGCTCAAGCCTGTAATCCCAGCACTTTGGGAGACCAAGGCGGGTGGATCACGAGGTCAAGAGATCGAGACCATCCTGGTCAACATGGTGAAACCCCGTCTCTACTAAAAATACAAAAACTTAGCTGGGCATGGTGGCGCGTGCCT